ATCTCGTGATGATCTGACAGTGAAAGTGCTATGTACTTTATATGCAGCGTAAGTCCTTGCAGAGACCAAGGATGACACATTGCAAATGGAATAAAGCCATCAATCTTTTCAAATTGACAAGTTCCTGCCATTAAAATCTTTTGGATATTCTGTTCATGATATGAAGACAGGCATTTCTGATCAAAAATGAACTAGAACAAGTAGGTCATTGTAATTACATAAAAAAAATGAATCAATATTCATATTCCTCAATTAATACTACATGTATTGATATCAAGGTCACTTATAGATTTATAGAACAAGAATTGTATAGAAGTTCCTAACTAGTGCTGCAATATATCTAAGCAAAATATCTTTAAAAATCTGAAAATTATCTACACAATTTTTTTTTTAAACTAAGCTTCAAGTATTATATATATGTACCAAGCATGATATTATGTGAATAGTTTGTGAATGTAAAAAACTACTATTAAAATTTATGAATTTTTAGAAGCAAAAACTATGTTTTTTTATTAATTCAACAAATACATAACACACATAGTGGGAGACACAGGCTTAATAAAACTGACAACAGGTATGTGAAGTTTAATAGCAACATCTATAGGGTAATTAGCATTAGGTGTCACCCACTATTATGAGACACTATGCTATCTCTATTAGAATACATATTAAAGATAAATCTGTGCTTATATTACTACAGTTCCCCAATAATAATGTACTTATAGTAAGTGTTAATCCCCCCAAAAAATCATCAAAATAACTGTGTGCTGCAGGTTTTGCTGGAATAAGAAGTAGAAAGGAAATATTTAATATTAAAAATGTCATGTCAGCCTTTAAAAAAACTACGAGGACATCAATAATAATTGCCATTTATACTCAATTAGTCAATACATGTAAATAATTATGTTTTTTTCTGACACAATTCAACTGAAATTAATCTAATCTAAAATATTTTGTATAAACAAACTCTTACATATAAAGCAAATGGAAAATGATTTTCGATTCAAATTCAGTCAGCAAACGAATGAAAAAAAAAAAAGATAAATATCGTTTTTAATTTTATTTCCCCAAAAATTTATTGATTTAAGCACCAATGAATATTCTGGAGTTGATGTTGAGTGACCTCATTCTGATACTCCCCCTTCTTCAATAGTGCATCTCATACAATAAGGATAACATCACAGAGTGTTATCACACAATAATCTGTCCTTTGAAACACAGGAAATTGCTTATTTAAAAATTGAGGTGCATCATGGGGGGAGTTAATTATCATATGAGCTGTCTATCAAGCAGAGCATCATTCTACTAGAATCATGTAAACTACACTGCATATGGCATAAAGTCTACTATGTGAGGAGTGGATGTTACTCTTGACTAGTGGTAATTGTTACTCAATCTCCAGAGATAAACAAAGCATGCATGTGGTATCAAGAAATATATCATTCTATATTGTAGAATACATAGTTCTATTACTACCATCACTACCAGTGTTTATACCGGTATATATATATATATATATATTGAGGGTATATGGTTAAATTTATTTAAACCAAAAATTTTACAGAATTCAATTACTTTTGTGAGCTACTTGTTATATTTAAATAGAGAATAAGACTAATAGATTATTAAGTAAGCAATGACTTCTAGATCAGTTCAAGTTTCCCCAACCCTGTAAAGAGAACTACCATTTTGTTCTGCTGATGACTTATATACCATACAAGCCAGGGCATAAGGTGACTGCAGACAGGATTTAATTTTTTATTCTTACGATTAACTTTATTATAATTTTATTAAAATCTACTGAACAAATTATATCCTGTCTGTTGGGGTTTAAAATTAACATGTCGATTAGTGAAAATTACAATAATTATGTAAAAATTGTGCTCAGCACTTTTGGTGGGAATATGAGATAGGGTTAATTACTGCAGTGAAACAGGATTTCAGAAGCATACTCTGACAATTTAATGTAAAAAATGTTAACATTTTGGAAGGAAGAATACAGGCAGTAAATAGGATTGGTTAATAGCACATGTTCTAAAAAAAGACTGCATGAGCAGTGATCTTATTATCAATGGCAGCCGCTTCATGTACATAAACCTCCATGCATAACAAGACGGGATTTACGCATTAGTTCTTAACTAAGGGTGAAATTGTCACAGGAAATTTCTTTTTGTATGTCAGTAGACAATTCAGCTTAAAAAGACTGCAGACAGGCAGTATGGCGCAATCAATATACCGGTACATGGGATACGCGTTGAAAAAAATTACGTCACCTTTTTAATTTTTTTTATTAATGTTGAGTATGTAACAATAAACATAATAATAAGGCCTAGCAAAAAAATATGGATGTTTCTGACTGTGTATCACTTAAAAATGTACACAACACAATTTTTTTTTCAGGTTTTTTCAGAAGTTTAGACAAGACAAATTCAGCCCTCATGAAAGAACAAAATTTAAGATATAGACATTTTCAGCTGAAAATAATAAAAATAACTTAATATTCTACCTAGGTAGTCTATTTATTTGATCACAAAAATAATTATGTGTCACCTCAACAGAATACCAGATATCTAATGAATGACCATGTAATATTGTATTTATTAAACAAGTATAGTAATTGTCCAAGCCTTCGATACTATTTATCACATGTACCGATTTCCAGCTGATTCGCTAATGTTTGAATCGTTATTTGTGTGCGTGCATCGTAAGCATCTTAGCTGATTTTATTCATTTGTATACAGCAATGCTATTCTTTGAACGTGCTTTGTAGCCTGTTTATCAGCTGTGATTGAACAAATAAATGTATTTATACATGAATTTTACATAAATCATGGGCTATACTTCTATTAGTGCGCTTCCAGAATCTTAAAAGAAAATCGCAGTAGTCGCAGTTAAGTGAAAAAAAAGAATCTTGTGTGTTGCCACTGTAAGGTTGGGAGAATTAAAAATGGTGAACTCCTCAAATGCATATCGGTGAATGCATGAAACTATTACCGGTAGTATTTTGTGTGAACAGTCAGATTGATGATATTTCAAACAGTTTTCCCAAAAATAATTTTTCTAGTCATCAA